CAGGCGGGTTAGTGTGTGGCCTCGACGCACAACAGGTGTATTGTCGGCATCCCCGGAAAGGAGAGGCGCTTCCCAGCGAGCCACTTCTTTCTGGTCACTCTTGCTGTGATTGAAAACGGGTTCTTTATTCCCGGAGGTAGCTTTCTTTGGCCACGCGTCCCCAAGTGTAGCTGTGGTTCTTTTTTGCGCTGAACATACGAATCTTTATTTTCTCTTACTGGTGTTTGAATAGGTATTTAAAGTGTTGTAATTTGAATAGGTATTTAAACTGTTGTAATCACAGGACTGGATATTTTCTCAGACAGAGCAGCGCGCGCGTGTGTGTGTGTGTGTGTGTGTGTGTGTGTGTGTCTTGCTCCCCCTCCCCCAGCTTGAGTTAGGTGATGGAGAGGAGGAGAGGGAAATAGGAAAGACAGGTTTTCTACCTTTGAGCCGCCTCTAGACTGTTTAGGAAAACAGTGGGCCGAAGCCGCCTCTATGCGAGGCTGTGCTAAAAGCATAGACTTTTTATCCTTTACTTACCTCGACCACTCTGAAAGGCAGCTCTAAGAGGAGCCATTCCAAAGGTGGGTAGGCCCTTGCACAGAAAATACGTTACTCATGGACTGGCTTGAAAACTGCTAAACTGATCATCAGCAGCAGTCCGTGATATTCCAGCAAAAAGATCCATGAGTTTTTCGGAATTCTCTACCAATGACTAGTCCCTAAGACCCGGTGTAAGTTTTCTTTCTTTCTTTCTTTTTTTGAGATGTTTTTGCTATAGGGAGTGTGCGCTCCCAGACAGAGAGATAGAAAACGAGGAATCACCCCCCCAGGGGGGATGGCCAGGGCTCAGTCCCTTCTCCTGCGCTCTTTGCTCTTCTCTCGGGATCTTGGGCACGTATGCACACGCGCCCGGTGTGAGTTTTAAGCCACCGGGTCCAGAACGTGAACTGCGGTCGACTACATGGGAGTCCAGCGACATAGCCATTACGCTGCTGGTCCCTCGGTGTAAGTTTTCTACATCTTGATTGATGTAAAAACTCTTTATTTTCTTCTAAAGATGATGCTGGAATTACTGCCTTTTGAAAATAATAAAAGATGACTTTTAACCACATAATGAACCCATAGGAGCACTGTTAATAAACATCACATTCCCAGAAACCTCTCTGAGGAAAGTTTTCTTCAATTGCATATTAAGGTGGGATTTTCATCCAGATTACTATTTGTGGAAATATTATAATAAAAATACCATACCTTTTAAAAAAATATATTTTTTGATGGCCAGAGAGAGAGAGAGACTGAGAGGGAAAGTAAGAAATCACACACACACACACACACACACACACACACACAC